CATAGCAAAATTTAGACAATACTGAACTTATTTTACTTTTGCAAATGATTCCATGAAAGTCACTGAAAATGGTTATATCACTATTTATTCTCAAAAACAAACCAAAAAACTATTACCTGTTTCATGCTGTGAAGGTCCCTGTGTGTGCTTACTATTCTTAGCCAGAGCAAGTCTGTACAGTACTGTATTATCAAATTACAACCAAATTTGCTGCATGAAAATCAAATGATAAACAAAACGCAACATTTTAGCACGTCCATCTAAATTGCCGTTTCATCAACCATCAAAATATATTGGATACTTATGCTAGAACTTGTATTTTTCAAATTAAACTGAGAAAAACTCATTGAAGCAGACCTGAATCCTATAGGTGTCAACAAAAAAACTTCTTTTCCTCTCGACTTATCCTTTAAATGGTTCTATTAAGTTAACATCTATGACATCTGTTAATAGTCTTATTAATGATAAGGGGTAATATCTATTGCAATGAATTCACTGGTAATCATAATGCCTCTCCTGTTAATGGTTTTCATTCCACAGGATATGATACACATATCAAGACTTCTCAAGACCTGCATTTTTCATGCAAAGTAAATTAATATCTAACCCAGATATGCACCAACTATTGCAACATATAATCTTAGCAAGTTTTCAGTTTTCTTGCATTGCAACTAACCCTTATGCAAACTATGATTAAGCCTTTAAACAGTGATGATGACCAAGATAAGTATGAAACAAACTTCATGAAAAGAGTGCATCACAAAAGCACTGAAAATATAAAGCAAGCTAGGAACCAAGTTATGACAGGCACATATAATGAATACAAGAGAATGTACTGTTTTCAGTAGTAGAGTATTTCTAGTGGATATAAACCAAAAGATAAAATAAGTATATATCTCTGTTCTTTAATAAAAATCTAATTCCTGGGAAATTTTAATTTTTTTCACAATAATTTTGATCTTAGTCTGAAAAAGAAAGCATGAGGACACATTGTTCTATTAAATTAACACCAAACCAAAAATTGTGTCTGCTGTACTTTCTCATATACAGGATCATAACTTACACTGACTCTAAGAATAGCAGCTGGTAACTATTCAAAAGACTGGTCTTACCTTCCTTTATTAACAGAATCCTCTTTGGAAATAGGAGCCACCATCCAAGGAAGAAGGTTGCCGAGTCATACCACAAAATCCAGGCACTTCCATTAGTCACTTGCCAGTCACAGTAACAATCCAAATTCACTGTCAGGTATTTAACAACATACCCTTGGGAGGGATGGTTACTGAATATCTAATCTTGCTTCATTTATAAAATGGTGTTTTGGTTGTAATAAATCAATTATAACCTAACAGCCATCCCTGGGGACCCATGTCAGACGATATACACCTATTTAGGAAAATGGACAACAAAAAAGGCTTTAACTGCTAACAGCAGGCTTCCCTCTACCTTGAAAAGATTAACAAGCATACAGTTTACTTCACATACTTTAAAGGATCACAAGTCAAAGGGAGTGGTTTCCTCATGCATATAACAACATTTACTGTACATGTTTTCACTCTGGATTATGCGCCTCTTCAGAAAAAGACATCACTCACTCCAAAAAGAAGCCACGATGTGATACCTAATGCCCTGCACCCTAGTTTTGCAGTGTGTGTTTACAGAAATACCCTCATAACCTAGTTACTTAAGCTAGACTTACAAGCTCAAACTATAGAATTATTATTCAGTAGTAATGTACTTCATTGTCTCTTAGTATAACAAGTGAGCTGATTACTTCACAAGACACAAAGAATATAACATTCTATTTTTTATTCCAAGCTGTGAGAACATTACTCCCAAAATGGACAAAGAACAAAAAATCTTTAGATTTTCATCATAGCTAGTATGCTTCCCTGTTCCCCTAACAGATTGCCTCATCAACAGAAATGAAGTAAGTGAAAATCATCATCCTCACAACATCCCTATTTGACAACTTGCATATCCAAGACCCTGGTTTCTATAACTGAGGTCTCTCCCTAATACCATGTGAGCCTATGGAGAGGGAACTCCCCCTCATTAAAAGACTTTGACATTCCTTGTGGAATTTTCACTCCTACACAAATCTAAATTTTTCCAGGTCAAGAACACCAGTACACAATACAACATCAATGTCCTAATGCATGGAAATATAACAAAATACAAGTCTTTACATGGCTTCAAAAACATATTCATACAAGTACTGTATTAGTATGGCATATTTCTAAATGTAAACAGGCATCCCCCAGGTTATGGAAATTCTGGTTACGGAAATTCGCTCCTACAGATTTTGTGAATTATGTCCAATAAATTTGGGATACGGACAAAAAATCCGCCCTTACGGAAATTGGGTATTTTTTTTCTTCAATACTATTAAAAAAATTCACATAATTATAAAATTTATTTTGTGTGGATTTCTTGGTGGTTGCTACAATCCTGTACAGGGCGAGGCTGGAGCCAGTAGTACCCCTCCATCTCCCTCCCAGTAACTCTGATTGCACCACCTTACCTCACCACCTCACATAATGCAGCACTCAACATCGTTTGTGGTAAGTTAAATTCAAATGTTTTGTATATATATATAATCATACATCATAAAATAATCGATGTACGTGTTAAAAATAATTTATTTTCATTCATAAATGTGCTTGTATTACATCTTCTTGCCGAAAATATTTCCTTGGGAAAACATCTCCAATTATATAATGGAAGTCAATGGGAAAATTGGTTTCGCGTTACAGACAAATTTTCAAGGACACATGCCTTCTGTAACCCGGTGGATGCCTGTACTTCATACCAATCTCATGTTGCAAAATAGGTCATGCATAACAGGACATTAAAGAAAGAAGAGTAATTTATATATAGAGTACCTTTTCCATCCCAAGAATGCACTGCATTACAGGGCATGAAGCTGTCTTTTGTGTTGAGCCCCTTTCTGAAGTCATATGGGACCACTCACGAGAGGTCTGGTCAACTTTGTTCTGCGGCCAATTTATAACAGTTTTTTTTGCATGATTTATATATCACTGGATTTGTTATTTTTGGGCTTTAACATAGGCAAGAAAAAAAAATGAGAATAGGACTGTATATTTTTTCACTCCAAATAAGGAAAAGTAAATTGTGTTCCCAGCATCATATCTCGGATATTTTCACACAAACCAAGGTATTGCTGTATATTTATTTATAGAAGCAGAATTTTATGAGCTTCCCAATGATGGCTTTGGAATTTTGATATAATTAATTATGGGAAGGGTGGGTGAAGAAATAAAGAGACATATTCGATCTACCATGAAGACTGAGGGAAGGAAACTGATGTACAACGAAACTCTGCCCACAGTCGTCTATGAGGCACAAAAATTTGATGCAATTATCTTAAAAACATTTTTAGGGAGAATTTTTTAAAGTTTAATGATACAATTCGTGTTACCGATGCAAATATAGGTACCTAATGATTTGATGCGATTTGTGTCACGATGGGTGAGAAAGTTAACTGGTAACTATAAATATATACAAGAGTACAGTACCATACAGTTAAGATTAAATGGCAGTAACCAAATTTTGTCTAAGTGTCTGCCTGAAACATTTTCTTTAGTGTTCTGTATGTAAAGGTATCGTACCTCTGTGTACAGAATTTTATTTGTTTGCATATTCTTAAGATATTATGTAACCTTTTTACTATAGTACATTACTTAGGTAATATAATTATCTTAGATGCTGGCCTAACATTTCATTCTGTTCACTTGTTTTAAATCATGTCATTTCTCGTAACAAAAAAATTATTACTTTACTGTACTGCGGTTATTTCACTTAGTAAGTTTATAATTGGATTAAAACCATTGTATCCAACAAAAATGTTCAATATTAACATTTTCTGTAGCTTTTTAATTTTGTAATTTTTTCTCCATAGAAATGTATCTTAGTTTTTATAATGGGAGTCTGGGAAAAGGTTCTTCGATTATGAAAAATCAATTCACGAAGGGTTTTTCAGGAATGGAATCGTTTCACAAATCAGGGTCTATCTGTATATATGTATACTTGGCTGGTCAAACCCAAACTACCATTAATAATATGTACCCTTAACAACCTTACTGGCATGCTAACTCCTTGAAGGATTATCTAATTTCTAATGATTAAAAAAGATGAGGGTACTCAACACTCCTGAAAGAGGTGATAATGATTATGAACTAACCTGAATCCCAATGTGAAAGACCTGTTACTTGAATCACAAAATCCTATATCAGTCACTAATGAGCAAAAAATCCTTCCCCCATTAATAAAAATTATCTTAAAAAGGCAGATTGATTTAAACTGATGACACAGTTATCCTTATTTTCAGAAATTGTCAGTCCCATGAAATAAACTCAACCAAAATATTCAACTCATCCATTATCTATCTGCAAAACAATAAGTCTGAACACATCTGATTTCTGTACTTGACTGTGCAGCCCAATCAAAACAAATCTTGACAAGAAGGCAGACAGAAACACAAGTACTGTACTTACCATATCTATTCCTATAGTAATTTGTGGTCTAGAGCACATGCACCCACTATGAGCAAACAGCTGGGACAAAACTTGGATTTTTGTTGTGATCGTCTTCTCGTTACCAATGCAAGTGAATAGACACAGCTGAATTGCTTTGCTCTCATGACATAACCTGACAGCCTTTATTAATGGCTCTTATTTCTAAAGATCCCTTTTCTAGGGTTCTGGTCATTAAGGATGTATGACTATTTTTCTGAATAAATAACAGTTGCTATAGCCAGGATTGGTCAGTTATGACTTCTACATTTATCTGGCAGAATGACACTGGTCCTCTTATGATGGTCATTAGGTTACAAATATGTTTAAGGTTAAATGACAAGTTTTCAGGGATTTCTTGAATCTTTCCAAGGCTCTTGCACTGAGAAAATACTCCCACTCTTATCTATCACAATTAAAAAAAAAAAAAGTGTTTGTGTTCCAAGTGTTAGTGACAATCATTAATTCAGATTTTTTTTTTTATTTGTGTGTAATATATTGCAATACTCTGTAACTATAAATACTACAAAGTTCTAGATGCTATTTCACATTCATATCTTGTTTCATAACAAAACTTCACTTAACATCACATTACCATCTCCCTCAATATCAGTCATTTCTATCTGGAATACCTGAACAGTAGCACTTACAATACTTGATAAAATAATTAGTTTTAATATCAATTATGCTGCTAACACATCATCATCAGGAGAGCCAGATGTTGGAGTGACTGGAGACATGGGGACACCTGGTTTACGATAAGTTGCCCAGCGAGCATCATCAGATTCATGTGTGACATAACGTACACCGACTTTTCGTTCTAGTTCCCTTAGATCACACCAACACTGGTAGTCCTGAAGCCATACATGTGCAAGTGACTTATCCACTGTGAGACGCTTCCTCTGCTTTACTTGTAACAAATTGGTAATCAGATCAATAGCTGAAACAAAAACAAAAATAAAAATTAGATTCATTATTTTAAAATAATTATCAAAAGTACTGATGATGAAGATAAATAAGAAGAAACTTGAGGTTATTTAGTAACAAAATCATTAATAATTGTAATTCTTGAAGAAGTTAGCTATCACCTGTCCCACCGACTAAGCACTGTCACCTTCTGTTTGCCCCTTTGCAATCCAAACAGCTTTGACATATAACGTGGTGGTTAGACTCATATTACGTAATACTGTACTGTAATCTCCCCATTAGCCGGAATCCCAGATTCCTGGAACTCTCCAATAGCCAGAATTGAAATTGGTTCCAGGAAAACACTCGCCATTCAAGGTCTGCGACCAAGTTTCCGAGGATGAAAATCGGGCGCATTTTCCAGAAAAAATCCTGAGATGGTTCCAAGAAAACCTCTCCTTTCTGGGCCTGGGAATATATTTTTGGGGATTCTGAGAGATTGTATCATGTTCCAATGCATCCCCACGTGTCAGGAAACATGAGTGGCCCAGTTGCTTGGATCGCTTAGTTCATATTCTGCTGCCATTATAGAAGGTTGTTCCCTCGCTAGCTGTTGTTTCTGTGTACAATTTGTGTTGTGCAATACTGTACATTACTGTGCCAGGACACAATCAGCCAACAATAGTGTTAATGCAGTGTTACCACTCTTGGATTTGGGTGGGCACTCTCTCTCTCGCTTTTACTCACCTCACCGTACTTGACTGCACCATAATTGTACATAATGAGTCATAATAAGCTTACTCTTTGAAGTAAAAAGGTGGAATTTGTTGCATTAGCATTGTAAATAAATTATCTACAAACAGTTTTATATGAGTACCGTAATCACGATAAAATAATTATTTTTATACATAAACAAAGGGAGAACACAAAATTTATGTTTACGCTTTATGAAAATGTTTATACATCACTTTATACCTTCATTATTTCATGTGATTGCAATATGAACCTTATTCCGTTATAAAGCATACATATGGAGGTAAAAATAGTTAATGTATAGAATAAAAGTGGTGAAAAAATTATTATTTTGCAAGGGAGAGACATCAGGAAGCACCACACTATCACCAAGTGATGCAATCTCCTCGCGCTTTTTACGTTTTCCCACCCCTCCACCCTCACCAGTAACATGGATCATGGTTCAAAACTCACAACACTGTTATGAATAAATTAAATCACTGTGATGCACGAGAAATCAGTATAAGCTGCAAGAAAATGAGGGAATTGTAATTAACATTATATCCTGGGTCCTTTCAACACAAAAGGGAGACTGGCATGGTGACCTTGGAGTGCAGTCTACATAGTTGCCAGAACGCGCTGACATTGCCAAATGTGTGTGTTGTGTGTCTACGTTCATATGCAAACATAAATTTTTTTATTTCATACACAAATTTGCATATGAAAACCCCAAGAGTGTTAAGACTTAAAAATTGATTACAGTTATGATTCTGTACTGTACATTCAGTAAGTGGGAAACACTGGAGCATCTTTTGTCTTTATTCAAGACATCTTCAGGTCATGAGACCCACTAAATCCCCAGCCCCAACAATGGGTGCCATGATATTGCATCAGAAGGTCAGTAATATGAGACCACTAATCCCTCACCCTACCTACACCACAAATGAGAGAAGAGTTTATATACAAAGGGTAACCTGATATTGCATCAGGATCTTAAGTCAGTAAAGTGAGACCCACTAATCCCCTACCACACCTCCATCACAAGAGTTAAAATTAAAAAAGTGATAACAGTTACGTATTATATTCAGCAGAGTGTATGCCTACTGTAGGATCAAGATGACAGCATCTGCTGGTGAGTACAGTCAGAGCATGCAATTCAGTTCCGTACAATTGATTTATCGTAATTCGTACCAAAGGAAAAAGACAGTACCGCTATTTCGTACCTTCGCAGCATACTGTACTAGTAAGATAAATTATCGTACCGTAATTTCGTACCCGATTCCGTACCCCCCAAACAAAATGTAGCCCAATTTAAGGTGTAAGAAAACAGGGAATACAGTCATGCGCCGGTTAACGTCCGATCGCATATACATCCGTATCCCCAAAAAAAACATACGCCTGCTGGACCACCACTCCACGACCCCCTGACGGAGACACGATGATCCTCCCCATACTGGTCAGATATTATGTGTTAAAGGAATATGCTTCCTTACTTAGGCTTTTCTAAGCATTTGCCTACAGGTGAAATGTTAACCTACATCTATTGAGGATAAAATCTTTCACCTACAAATTGACAATAACACATTTGCTGTAATCAGACATATCTAGTTGCCTCAACAATTGCAAGTTGCAATTGGGGTTGCAATTTCAAATTCTGTGGCATTACTAAAAATAGTAAAGTTTCTGGTACACTCTAAGATTAAGAGAGAAAACGGAGGACTCAGGCGTCCTGATGTGAGAGAAAACGGACTCGTATGACGGGGGACCAAATAAAAAAAAGCATAGCTACATGTTTTGTGGACTACAGTATTAAGCGTACCCTTTTCATCACTTTGTATTAAACCTAGCCATGCCTATGTGTGTTTATGATATTTACCATAACATTATATATATATATTTAGTGGGTCTAAATTGTCGTAAAATGGGTGTCTGTACCAATTAGAATAAATCCCATAGGTTCTGTACTTTCGTTATCGGCGGGGTCCCAATTAGGGGCGATAACCAAGGGATGACTGTATATACTTGTGACACTGGCCAGTTGCTTCTGATGTTATGGTACAGGGGTACCAAGTGACAGCACTAGGATCCCGTTTCCTCTATCAAGGAATAAACAATTATAATTTAAATTGAAAAAAAAAAAAAAAAAAAAATTCAAATAAATTACTATCTTACAAGAAACCCTCCAATGTAAGTTATATTCACCCAGGTCGTTTGGGTGGAAAATTATGAGAAGAGCTTAGTCACTCTTAAGTAATGATAAATAAACACGCAGGCAGGCCTTCAGCGCCAAATGTCAAATCTTATCTCAAATAAATAAACAAACAAACGCCAGACATTCTGTCACCTCACCTACCAGGACCATGTGGTGGATGTGTTAAACATCTGTAGGTAGTGACCAGCCAGAGGGAGGGAGGGAATGACCAGGCCTGCCATTAATACTTAGGTATGAAGGCCTTCTGAACTGTGGGAAGAACCTTTTGATGCCAATATCAAGTCACAAGACTGTTTAGAAGTCCAGCTCCCTCACTACCAGATGTGTAGTTAATCTATACAGATGTTCACAGTATCATTTTGTACTGAAAATTTTGGTTAATCAAGTAACCCACTCTCCAATTTCACCATTTGTAACTTTTATCATCTCTGTTTATTATACATTTTCACCCTTTTGGCTGCCATGTTATATCAATAAAATGTTTATTATTATTATATACATACGTGCATACTGTCATTAATTCAATCTTACTAATGTAAAATATGTTCTGCTTAATACTTTCCTTCTACACCAAAGGTCTCCAATACCCATCTGGTTTACCCTTATAGCTCACACATCACTGTACTCAAAATTAAATTCAACTTACCCTCTTGGCTTATCTCCTTCCAAGGATTGGGTGGGTACATGAAGGCAGCATTTTGAATTTGATCATTAATGTCCTCATCTTCATTAAATGGGAATGTTCCAGAGAGGGAGACATAAGTGATGACTCCTACAGACCACATATCCAAAGACCGGTTGTATCCCTTGTTGCGCAATACTTCCGGAGCTGTGAAATTTTAATGTTTATTATCTGTAATGTTCTCCCAAAACTCAAATATCAGAAATGAAGACTACAGTCTCTCCTCGACTTACTACATATTCGACTTACAACAACCTGGACATACGACGGCCATGGTCGTATAAATTATTTTTCACATTACATATTTTCGAGTTCCGACTTTAGTGATCGCGCTGTGCACTGACAAAATTTTCGTCTGTAATTCCCTTTAAAATGGCTGGCAATTTTAAAAGTGAGAGTTCTCGTGGTGCTGAGAAGAAAAAGACACACCCATTTTAGAATTTCTATGTATTATTTTCGCCTTTTCAACTTACGACCTGGTCGTCAGGACGGAATCCCGTCTTAAGTCGAGGAGAGACTGTACAATACTTATAAAAACCACAAAGTCTAAAGCCAGTGGCATGGTGTGAATTTTTATAGATATTAGCACTGTGATCAGTTGTCTACCAGGGCTGAAAATGAATAAGTATACACATAAAATTATGCAAAGAATGCAGTCTACATATAACACAACATATAGTTATAGTTTTCTCAACAACATAATAAACTAGTACTCTACTCAAAATAAATTATATAGGTACAGTATCTATATAATTTGTACAATACAGCAACTGACTTCAAAGACTATATGTAAACAATTTACACCACTGGGTGTGCCGGGTTCAAACAAGAGCCATCAGAGCTAGTCGTCAGGTGGTCTTGATTGAAACCCAGTCACCAGAGGTGTAAATTGTTTACATTAATTTACTTGTGTATATTACAGTTTGATATCGAGACTGCACCATTGAAAGGGGGTGGAAAATGTACAGAAGGTAAGTCTTTACTCTCAAAGACATGATTGACAACTGATTCTGCTTGGAGCCAAAGGTTGGCTAAATGCAGATCAAAAAATTGTGTGCAGGACAATATTACTTATGATCAATAAATATCATAAAGGTGAATTTCCAGCACTTGAATGCTCTTCATGGTACAGCATATTAGGCTTGTCAGAATCACATTACTTTGGCTGTGAGAGAAAGTGTGCGAGTGCCAAATTAATTATAGCTTTTATTCTTCATCTGGTACTGGTTACCTATATATATATATGTAAGGTTGAGGAAATGGATGCAGACACTTCCATGGCATAAATGATAGTTATAAATGCCTGCCTAGTAAGTCCCCACTACAAATTTGAACTAAATTCACTTAAACTATAATACTTGTAGTGTACTATGGAATATCTTTTATTCAGTAAAAATAAATATATTTTATGGATAAGCATAACTTACTGTATATACCCACTCAAAACCTACCCAAGTAAGCAGGTGTTCCCACAACAGATCTCCTGAATGATTTTTCTCCTATAATTCGGGCAAAGCCAAAATCACAGAGCTTCACTTGTGGAAAGTCACTAGCAGATGACAGAAGAACATTCTCTGGTTTTAGGTCACAATGTACAATGTTCTTACTGTGAAGATGTTTTAGGGCAGCCAAGATCTGGGTAAAGAGAAAAAATATGCTACTTCCAGGAGATATGCAAATAGATTTATCTTATATTTTAGTACTCATAAAAAAATATAATAACACAGAAGTGGGTTGAACTATCATGGTGAACAAACATTTACGCCCAAATATCCATAGATAATGACCAACTGTACTGGAAACAGAGCAAACACTCCCAATCTGTACCTCACAACACATCTACACTGTTACTGTCTTTTCTCTGACTGGTTCACCTGGTCACTCTCTTCTTTCTACACCTTGTACTCATCTCTCAAAATTACCCCTTCACAAACAAGCAATATTTGGCACTCTGATAAAACCTAACTGGAACATTTTGAGGGAATTTTCCTCCTGATCCACCTTAACCGGTGGCTAAGGATTCCCTACTCTACCCTCATATGAGCAAAAATGGAACGAATTGATCATGAAACATCCATTGATGATGGCCATCATCCTTACAACTAACTTCCACTGATGATAGTTACTGTTAAGAGTTAAACTTCAACAGTCCACCCACTTCTGCTGAAAATATTTCACAAATTATTCACTCTCACGTGAAACTCTTTTCCTTGTTCTTATAGACACACTAATCCCCACCTTATTTCAACTACAGTAATTTCCCCGTTAGCCGGAACTCTCCCACCACCACCATTCCGACGCTGTACTCCTCTCCCAGTCCCCCTTCCCCTTTCACGAGCAAACACTAATTACCATCTGGGAAGATATTGGAAGCATAATGTGTTGTCTAATGGTAGAACCTGCTGCCATATGGCATCACAAAAATTACGACCAAGTCCCAGGTTGCTGATATGACTTTCTGCCTCATTTACACACAATTGCAGGGTCTCAATTGTTACTCTTACTATTAACAACACGACATGCATATATTATTTCTCACTATTGATATTTTTATTTTTTGTTTTTGAATTTATTCATGGCTCTTTATTATTACAGGGGGTATTATTATTATTATTATTATTTATAATTTTTATAAACTTTTATTATTACTGTACGTGTAATTGTATTTTCTTTTATTATAATTATTTGTTTTTAAATATTGTTATTAATTTTACTATTATTATTATTATTATTTTATTTTATTATAATTGTTATTTATTAAATATATTTATATTACTTTTATTATTATTATTATTATTATTATTATTATTACCATTATCATCATCATCGGCATAATTATTATTGTTTTATTATATTTTTGCCCCCCGGGCCTTGATGTGGGTCATTAAAAATGACCCGTGCCCGGGATGGCTAATGCCCTTAAAGAAATTAAAGAAAGATAAGAAATTTTAATTTGTTTTTCCCTTAAATCATTTCTTTTATTTTTTACCTTTTTGCACATTCTGTATGAACACTTGTGTGTGCATGTAACAGAATACAGTGATATTTCAATTAGCCGGAATTCCTCAAACCGTTAGCTCTCCAATAGCCGGAATTGAGAAATTTTCTCGGAAAATTGTTTCCAAAGCTGGAATTTTCCAGAAAGTTCCGATTTTGATTATGATTTTCTGAGGGGCACATTTCCGGAAGATTCAAAGGAAATTTTCCCGATACCCAGAAAATTCTGGGGATGGGGGAAGTTTTTTCCAGGTTTGAGAGATGAAAATTAGGCGCAGTTTCTGTAAATTCCGAGAAAAATCTTCCAGTACCCGGAAAATTCCGAGGCGGGGGGATATTTTTCCAGGTTCCATAGATGATGTAGTGGGTAATTTCTGGAACTTCTGAGAAAATTTTTCCGTTACCCGGAAAATTCCGGGGACGAGGGATTTTTTTCCGGCTTTGAGAGAGTTGCCTCATTACCCAGAAATCTCTCATTCCCGGAAGTGCTCTGCACCAGTTGTTCTGGCTAAAGGAGATGTCACTGTATAGGAAATTTAATAAAATTATGTACATTTACAGGGGGTCCATGGGCTATGAACAGGTTCCGTAGGACGTTCTTAAGTCGGATTTGTATGTAAGTCGGAACACATGCTATGGGCATACTGTATGTCGTATTATGGAATAAATTATGTTTGTGTTTACCTTTACTCTAAATGT